TGTTTAAGTAAAAGTGATAATGATCTAAAAAGGAAAAGCTGTAGAGCCCGCTTCTCTATGCATTCTGCCAAAATGGATACCCAGAGGGTTTTACAAATCCAGGAGTACTTTTTTCTCTATTACTTCCAAGGAAAAGCTTCCGCTCTAGAAATTCTAGAACCAGACTTGTGTGAGATAGCTTCCATTTTAACCAACAGACATCCAGATCAAAAGCTGTCTGAAGGCACAGAGTAGAGCAACAATGATACAAAGGGTTTTTAAGGATTAGAGGTTCAGAGGAACAGTTAGATTTGAGTTGTACTATAAGAACTTGCTTTTTTGTTGTTGTTGAAGTTATACATAGATTTCAGCCTTTATGTATGTTATCTTTTGGGTTAAAGTAACGTTTGATGCTTAGTGTGTTCACTTTGTTAAAACATCATGTTGCAGTTTGGATGTTTATTGTCTCTTTAGAAAATAATGTTTTTTAAAAAATAAGATTTGAGTCCAGTAGCACCTTAGAGACAAACAACAGGAGTTTCTGGGTATATAAAGTGGGAGGTGAATTCAATGGGCTTTGTATCCCTGCATCCTTTACAACACCCTTCTGACTAGGATATCGGACTCCGATATCTCCGTTCCTCCTTGTGTCTGTTTGGCTTTGGGAGGCTCATCTCCTGAAACGCTTGTTGCTCTCTAAGGTGCTTCTGGATTCAACCCTGCAGACCAACACAGCTACCCTCTGAAATCCCGCCCCAGTTGTCAGGAGAAATCCCGCCCCAGTTGTCAGTCACAACAGTTCAGTAGACACTCCATGTCCAGAGGCAGTCTACCTGAGTACCAGATACTAGTGACTAACAGGGAAGGACAGTCATCTCTGTGCTTTGGTGGAAAGCTCATCCAATATATAGCAAGATGCTACCAAAAATGGGATGCTGAGCTAACGGACTTTTGGTCTAATGCAGCAATACTATGCTCATGTTAATTTAGGGGTTGTCCATTGCGACAGTTCGGCAGTTTGAGACCCGAGTGCTGCATGACGGAGTGAGCTCCTGTCTCTGGTCCCAGCTCCTACCAACCTAGCGTTTCGAAAGCAAGAAATTGCGAGTAGATAAATCGGTACCGCTTTGGTGGGAAGGTAACAGCGTTCTGTGTGACTTGGAGTATAGTCATGCCGGCCACATGACCACAGAAACGTCTTCGGACAGCGCTGGCTCTTCGGCTTGGGAGCGGAGATGAGCACCACACCCCTAGAGTCGGATTTGACTGGCTTTTGAGCAAGGAAAACCTTTACCATTGTGACAAAACACAACCAGCTGCTAAATGCATCCCCTCCCCAGTTCCACATGCCAGATCCGTGTATGTGTGGAGTGGGGTAACTGTTCCCTCACCACCTCCATGTCCCCTTCCTTTCTGCCACCTCTGTGCCGTGCAGTGCAGGAGATATGCCTGCTTGAAACACACACACACCTGCCTATCACGTTGCCACAGCAACCCTGCTCAGTGGTGGGTGGAAACATGTAGGTGGCAAGGGAAGCCTGGCATTCACACTTCAAACATAGCCCTGCTCTGCAACCCCCCCTCCCCCGCAATCCCTAATTTCATCTAAGACACAACACACGGGTCTTAGCTCGAATCCACTCAGAAAAAGTGGAGATGGGCCAATTAAAATGATCCAGGAGGTGGAGCCCCTTCCCTAGGAGGAAAGTGTGCAGCAGCCGAGTCTTCTTGGTTTACAAAAAAAAGGCAAGTAAAGAGAAAGGGGGGAGGGGGATCGTAACATATTTATAAGACAGCATGAAATGCTTAAGGAGATCCTGGTGCTGTAAAGCGAAGGGAAGGGAATACAACTGCTTCTGCCTAATAAAATACAGTACTTATTCCAATGCAAGATTCATTTTTGTTCCAGATGTGTCATCAAAAAAAGAAAAAGAAAAGAGGGGGGTTGTCTGATATTCACATACAAGTGACAGTTTTGTCCAGTAAAACTGTTTTTTGAGTGTGTGCAGTATTTAATTTAAAGGGGTCATCTTACATTCGGGGTTGCCTTCCTTTTGGGTAAACACAGTACTTCCTTTCAATTATGAACTATTTCCTACTTACTGAAATTCAAAGTCCTGTTAATATTGATATATTCTTATACTCTTCAGACTGCAAAGTTTGCCAGAACTACACAAACAGACAAATAGTGAAGAATTGCCACCTCTAACAAGATTCCTTAAAATGTAAGATATACACTGCCATGACAATACATATCAGGTGCTAAGGATTCAGAAAGGAGTAGCTGTGTTAGTCTGTTGCAGCAACCATAAACTTTCTTTATTCTGGCACAGATTCTCATGGACAAGAATTTACTTACGCTACAATAAAAACTTGCCAGTCTTTAAAAAAATGTGCTCTAGGTCTGTTAGAAATGTGGTGTGTTCATATTCTCCATGTCAATCAATAAATGTAGTAAGAACAGATACATCCTGAGGTCAGCTACCAAGCCCCCCCTCGCTTCACGCTGCATAGCAAAGGGAAGGCAAATTGGTTTCTATATGCAGCAGGGTCTTTTTGATGATGACTCCTGTGACAACTGTCTTTGCCCCTTCTTGTCAGTCACACCCCCCACCCAATTGTATTAATTGGGGACAACTTCCAACATCTATATTTTGGGTTCCGATTGCCTAGTCTTTTAAACTGCTACTACAACATTTAATCCTTTCTTTAGCTATGATGTCATTTAGACTTACACTGTTCTGCAAGCCATTTAGAAAATAAACACAACGCTTTGAAAGTGGGTTAAGAATGAATAGCTCAAAGATAATGTGGCTGGAAGACGGGTAGCAGTCAACTGGCAGTCATCTGAAGCACGTGCCACCTACAGGGGTGTTTTTTTCTGAAGTTTATTTCAATCAACCCACCACTGATGATGATGATGGTATAGAGGTTCTAGAAGATGGTACAGAGGTTCTAAAAATGCTTCAGTATTGCAACTCCCTGTTCTGTCCCCACCCTCCATCACATCCTGCATTAGGTCCTAGAGAAAGGCCCTGTTTGTGCACATTCTACAAAGCGCCATCAGTGGCAAGGGTAACAGATAAACTAGCAAAGCACAATGTTACTCTACATATCAAGTTGTAACATATTTTACCAACCCCCCCCCCCCCCCAGCCAGTGTGGTGTAATGGCTGGGGTTGGACTCGGCCCTGGGAGACCCACCTGTGAATCCCAGCTCAGCCACAGAAGCTCACTGGATGACCAGGAAATTGATACTCCCTCAGCCGAAGCTACCTCACAGGTTGGCTGTTGGGAGGAGAAAGTAAAGGAGGAGAAAATGATGCTGTAAGCCACTGAAAGCCCACGCTGGGGAGAAAAGCAGGCCACAAAGGCCTAAATATATATACTATAAAAACAATGGGGCTGGCCCTGCTGTCCTTGTTCTCCTCTTTCTTTGCCCTCAGAAGCCAGTTCTGAGGAAAGCTGCATGGGCCCATTCCAGCCAGCGCAATTTGCCAGTCAGCAGCCAGTTTTTAATCTATTATATACAGATGAATGCAGACTCCAGTCATGTGAAGCCTGCAAAAAAAAAAGGGGGGGGTTGCAACTAGAATAAATTAAGTCCATTTGCCTATTAAATGCAAAATTCAGATTTGGCTGGCAGAGAAATTTTTGATCTGCAAGTTCAAAGTTATGCATCAAGCAATAAACCATCAAGCATATTTCAGTAATTGTACATTCTTTATTCTGCTTCGAACTTGATGCAGGGAGGGGCAATGCTGATGATGCCCCAACATCTGGCCACTAGTTGCCTTCCTTCATCTGAAAATACACTCCATTGTTTTTAGAGAAAATGGGTGACTGATAAAATGCCCCGCTTTTCTTTCTTGACTGGCTCATGTTGCTGAGCCTTCAAAAGCAAGAGTGAGACGGCATGGTACAGGGGTAAAAATGCCGGGCAAGGATCTGAGAGACCCAGGTTCGAATCCCCACTCTGCCATGGAAGCTTGCTGGGCGACCTTGGGCCAGTCACTCTCTCTCACCTTAACCTACTTCACACAGGTTGCTCTTGGGTTCCCATTGGAAAGAAAAAGCAGCACATCAGTACCTAAAACTAGTCTGTCCCAAACCCCAGAGAACTCTGCACTGGTACATACCCAGAACAAAGTCCTCTGGATCCCTGTTAGATACAGCTGGCCAGACAACTGACCTAGGAAATCACCATATTCATGGAGGAGAGATTGATCAGTGGCTCTCAGACACAATAGCTCAACAGAACATACCTCAGTTGCTGTGAGGCCAGGGGATGATGGCTATTTACTTCATGTCCTGGGCTTTCTGAAGGCATCTGGCTGGCCACGGTGGGAAACAGGATGCTGGGCTGACCTTGCAGGGCTTGCTTTACACATCACTCAAGTCTTTCTTAAGATCAGGCAGTTGCAAGGCTTCTGGGAGCCTCATCCAGTGCAAACCCAGGCAGCCTTACCAAACACGTGTTCCATCCCAGGGCCAGGATTCAAGGTACTGATTCTGAAGCACTAACAAAACCGTGTGGACTAAATAATCATAATAACCTAAATTCCAAACCAAAAAAAGCTGAAGCCTGTATAAATTGCCCACATTTGCATAATCTCTTGTTTTGCATCATTTATGCTACTTTTGCTAGCCAAGAAAAGGGTAAGGAAGCCAATGGCCTAACCCCCCGCCCCC